GGATAGCAGCTGCTGTAGGTCAGCACTTCAGTTCTCACTGACTGCCATCACTCCATCCTGATGCCGCTTACCTGAGTTCCCTTCAACAAAACAAGGAGCTTTGGGTGTCTAAACAGAAAATAAAGTGTTTCATTCATTCAGTATCATTATTACTGCACTACAGTACAGACAGAACAGCCCTATAATTCAGAGGACTATAGCACGGCATCCTTCTCCATTGAGAGGGGAAAAAAGGAAAACAGAACATCTAAGAGACCAGAGGATGCTGCCTCGCCATAGACACACACGCACACACACCTGACTGGGGAGGACGATTATGTAATCGGAGTACAGTGGGCTAGGAGTCTAGGAGAGAGAACTGGAGAAAGCACGTGGAGAGAGAGACTGCATTAAAATAGACTGCTACACTATGGATTAAGCTCTCATAACTGCATACACACACAAATAAACTCATATAGCCATTAATTCTCATCATATCTTGCTGGGAAAGATAATAAAAGAAACTAAATGTGCAGACAGCGAAGTAACATTATAAACAAATGTTTTAAAGACCTACTTGAGTCTGAGCTGCTTAGCCATATGATGCTGCTTAAGCCTGTTATTCCCTCCACGTTGATATGAATCATCCTGATAAAACATTTTGCACTTTTCTTGAAGTCTAAATTTAGATTATAAATGCTTTAAACTCATGCAGCATTGCCAGCCCACACGGTTCCTAAAACAAACACAAGCGGAGAAAATGCACAAAAGCCTTTCAGCCATTAAAGATGCAAAAGATACGTGTGTTTGATACAGGCATGTGTGTGTGTGTTTGTGTGTGTGGGTGGGTGGATTCCCAGCCTACGCTCCCAGTGCAGATGTTTCTAAATCTGGCCAGTCTCTTGATTTTCCCGCTCTTTCCCGCACTTACGCAGTCATATTTTTGGATGCACATGCCTCTCCATGTGAATGTCAGTGGAACAGTCCTGAAACCTCAAGCCGCTGATTTGAAAGGCCAGAAAGCACCCCTAAAACGTGCACCATGAGGTCAGAAGCACCATACTATCTAGAAAACCTCTATACATCAGTTGTTCTGCAATCACCTTTTACGTAAGTGTTTCCAAGCTGAATCTAGCACATTTTAAGATGGCTACAGAGGACAGGATTAAAGGCTGCTGGCGTCTCGAGAGTAGGATGTAAAGTGAATACGTAAGCATCTGTTTTAACGAATACGCCAACATATGCACTCATGCAAGATTTCGCACTAAAAGAAGGCCGAGAATCTGTCTCTAGGGTATATAACTAGTGCTGGGCGGTATGACCAAAAATTTATATCACGGTATTTTTCAAAATTATACCGGTTTCACGGTACATGACGGTATTTTTTTTCTCATGCATGACCGGGTGTTAACCATATTTTCTACTGATTGAGAGAGGAAATACTGCAGTATATTGACTTAGAATGCCCTATTTTACTGTCACGATGAGTGAATATTGTCATAAATACCACACTAAATAGTGACTAAACACGACCCCTTTTAATACATGTTAACCAGGAGTCACTCTCATTTATAATCGCGGCATCGTCTGATAAAATCAACATGCATCTACACTAAAGAGCGGCTATGCGGTTGTTTTGGCTATATTACTTTTTTGTCTCATGCAGCGCACTGCCTGCATCTGAGAAACAAACAAAAAAAAAAACAACAAACAAAAAAGTGCATGTGATGTGATATTAACAGACGAACTACGATCTAATTTTCCAAACAATCAGATCAGTAAGCGACAGGTGCTAGGAAACGCTGTTTTGTATTTATTTATTGACGAGTCGGCTGCGGTGCGGCCAACTGAATGCGCTGCTTCTCTGCCGCTCACTGCACAGAACACACGCAGAGAGAGGTGACACTTCTCCGGGAAAGTCAGACCTCGCGTTCGCGGGACAGCACTGGCGAAATCTTCCAACTGAACCATAGCTAAGGTTTATCCAAAAAAGTCGCTAGGTTTGTCAGTATGAATATTCTATGGAAAAAATCCACTAAAAGGGTCTGAAAGTTGCTAAATCTAGTGAAGTCGCGCTCGTGTGTGTGAGACGCACCGGTATTCGGTATGAACCGGTATACCGCCCAGCACTACATATAACGCAAACTGTATGATGTCATTTGCAACATTCAAGTCCCAAGTTACTCTCTTGCACTGGCAGTACATTTCCCAGACTTCCCTTCACTGTTAACAGGTGCTTCAGACCTGTTGGGAGAGAAGGACTGCATGCTAATGCAAAAGGGAAATATCCTGCCATAGCCTAGCAATACAGAATGACAGTCAGCGTTCAACATCTCACACCGGTGCTAACTGATGTCTCAATGCATAATTGCAATGTGTGTGTACAACCGCTTTACATGTGACAATATGCTAAAATTTCCCATCTGGTGTTTCTAATATTATATGACAGAACATAAACACATTGCTGAATATGTTTGGTGTGTCAGTGGCTTCGTATCACATGGCAGTTACAGCTATATGTAATGTTTACTTTGCTTTAGAGGAAAAGCGGCAGCTAATAAAGCATTTATAGTCTGTTTTAAAATTAAAACAGGTCATTAAACTCTCAGAAAAAAGGTACAAAAGCTGTCAAAAGGTACACCTATTGACAGTATTATAAAAGGTACGCCTTTGTACGTTATTCACCCTTTAAAGATGCTTATTAGTACCTTATAGGTACACATCAGTACCTAAAGTGTAAATACCTGAATGGTACATATACCCTTAGAAGAGGTACCGCACCACTCACAGCCTTTGTACATTTTTTT